CTCAATTTGCAATAGAGATTTTAGATTCATTCATGTAGTGTTCACGCGATCTAAAATCTCTATTGAAATTGAGGAAAACAAGAAGGGATTCTAGAGCTTTAGAACTAATTTACTCCGTGTTGTTGAACGTACAGCTAATTATGACTCCATATTCGTACATAACTTTTTCTCCTCTTTCCAATGATATAGGTCATGTGTCATAACTCCATGACCCATTTTTACCATTGAAAGAACTGAAAGAAAACGGAAAAATGCATTTTGCTGTTTTGCGTTTAAATGCATTTTCGGCTACAATGTTCATCGTCGCCGGGGGGCAAAATTAATCTCCCTAAAACCTCTAATAGAACGCCACCTCCAGCATTGAGCCCATTTTTCTCGGACCCTGTAAGAGATATCAAAATTTGGTCCACTGACAAAAATGTTCCTGAAATTAGGAAGAACAGTTCGGCAGTTGACCACTTTTTGATATGTCTGACAGGAATAGAGATAAATGGGCTCAAAGGATTACGGTTTGGGGTGACGTTCTATTAGGGTGTTTACGGTATCTGTACTTCCAGATGTCCAGCACAACAGCTACCACAACGACGTCTTCTACATCTGCCACGTCATCATCTTCAGTATTCCAAAAATGTGGAATTTGTGGAATCGAAAAACGCGAACTGTACAAATGTCCGCGATGTGATCTACTGTATTGTACGATTAAGGTGAACATTGATTTTTTATAAAAATCAATTTTCAAAAAAAAAATTTTTTTTTGAAAAATTCGAAAAATTTCAAAATCGTCCAATCGCGATAAAAATTGATATCACGAGCTGAAATTGACTGAAAATGAGAATACTGAAAGAATTTTTCGAAAAAATTGAAAATTGAAAAAAAATTTTTTTGAATTTTTCAGAAATTTTTTTTTTTCGAAAAATCGATTTTTCAACAACCTACAAATCTATCAATTTTTTGCAGTGCTATCGTCACCAGAACCACTCCGATTGCTCGGAAAAATTCTATCAAGAACAGGTGAAAAATGAATTATCTGGAAAACGAGCCGACGATATCAGTGATAAGGGAGAGAAATATAAGGAGAAGCTGCAAAAGTTTTTGGACGGTGATTGGAGTGGAATTGAAGGTAAAAGCAGGCA